TTTTCTTTTTTTCTTTTCGAAAAACTGGAATACAGATTGTGTTTTGGGGCTCTATTTTTTATTCTTTTGCTTGATTGCTTGGAGCGGTGGGGTTTAAATGTATATGGCGATTCGGACGGGATATTTTCATTTTTTACTTTTTTCTCATTTTTACCCTCTTTGTCGCTTCTTCCCCTCTCCCTCTTATTGCATCTTATTCTCAGTATTATTCCATGCGGAAGTCTAAGAGGGGTACTATCGAGTGAGTGAGTGAGATTGAACGAAGGAATGTATTTGCTAGGCTACACGATGACAGTGGGTGATAATTTATGGAATCATGGATCGTCACTCGTCGTCTTTTCTGGGGGGTGCCGGGAGTATTGCTTCAATGCGACCGAAGTGTGTTTAGCTCGGAACATCTGGACTCATCCCTCTGTAGATAGGCGGTCTTTTGTGGGCATTAGTATGGCTGTCTCTGACGCATGTAGTTATGGGATAATAAGAAATTTAGCGCTCTCTAGTCCCGATCCATAACTCCTAGTCTCCTCCTAAATCTCGGTATTTACTTTCAATCTCTCACCTTACACACTCACCCTTCGTGACGCTACACGTGAAAGTAGTATCAATGCCTTTAACATGATTATCATAATATGCTATGGATAGCAGTGTACTCTGATACGCAAATATCACCGTTTCAAGCTGGCCGAAGAGCTTTGCCCGTACCATGGATGTATTGGTATGGTAGTCAGTGACCCCATCCGAATTCCGCTTACCACGTCGTGGGTATTCCAGCCCTGGTCGGATAGGTGAGGGTGGGTGGGTCCAGGAATTCCCGGCCGTGGATCTGGCTTCGGCCGAGTGTAGGAATTTCAAATAAGGAAGGGAAAATTTCCCTTTTTTTTTTGAACTGTGAATAAAATCCCCGGCACGGGTGGAGAGACTAGTTTTTGTTCCTGAGATTTTCTTCCCTCGATCGTGAAGTTTGTCGCTGATATTTCTCACTCGTTATTTTGGGATCGCTTTACCGGGTTCTACTCTTGTTTTTTTTTTTTTTTCAAGCTGCGGACTGGACAGATTGCCAGGGGCTATTCTGTACGCTTGGGATGTGCGGTGCTGTACTGCACAGTACTGTACTGGTATAGAGCGATTTTGTTGGGAAGTGGTCTGGCAACCGTGCCTCAGCTGGGCCAAAATTGTCTGTGTGGGCGGTGGTACACTGAGTGGAGTCATGTTGGGGAATACCTGCGGGTGAATTCCTGGGGATAGGTGCTTGACGAAGTTCATTTGGAGGGTATTTACGGGAGATTGGTCGTGATGGAGGTAATGTAGGTACTGTAGGTAGGTGGAAGGCACAATCCCCCCGGTATCACCTGTTTCCTGTGAGCACTCACTCCGTGGCCGGATAGGCATGGGTGATTTGGATTTAGGTTGTTTTGTTTGGTTGGCTGTTGGGGGTGCGAGATGGGAAACAGTGATGATTTGGGATCTCCGTTTTGTGGGCACCGGTACTGGGAGGGGGGGGGGGGGGTTAGCTAGTTATGTGATGGATTGGTGCTCTGGGGGTTGATAAATGAAGTTTAGGTTGGTGAACCTCTGCTCGTGGGGCTCACAAACCTCGGGATTTACGGATGGTGTGAGCGGTTCGCGGGATAAGTGGAGGACTAGAGTGAAGATTCAGAGTATCGGGGGGGGGGAATTCGTGTCTGCAGCTAGGTGGTTTCATGAGGAGAGAAACTGGAATGAACTAGGGGGGGAGTTTTCGACTACTTGGACTTGGAGTAAGGAGTTTGTTTTAGGTTCATGTAATGAACGTTTGAAGAGCCCGGAACAAGTGATATATCCCAAGACTGCTTTTAGTGCAGAAGCTTATGTTCTAATTCTGAGAAACTGCCCAAAGTTACACTATTTCCGTCAGCTTTCGTCTGTTAGAGAATGCACCCTTTTGTGCTCTTCGGTATGCATAATTGCTCTCTTTGTGATGGTAATAACCGCCGGGGAATACGGAACTGAATCTGGGGGGGAGGGGTCTATCGGGCCGGCCGAACCCGGACCTAGCCCAATCCAAGCAAGGACTATCTTCCGCTCTGACCGAGGAAGAAGCGAGGTCAACCCAATGAAGCCCCGTCCCTTTGAAAGACCTAGCCATCATACACCAAAACTACTTTGCTCGGCATTGATCACTTGGCATTGGTGTCGGCTAGCATGCTCTATATCCATACACTACGACAACTTGCTTACTCGAAGCCTGTTTTTCGTGCTGCGTTGGGAACCCCCTGTTCTACAGTAACAGTGAAAAAAAATACAGCAGGGAAGAAAGCCATCATGAAGAGTCTCTAAGTGGTTTATAGGTGGGTGTTGAATATATGAGCGCGATTACACATAAGAGCTGGGAACATTCGCGGGTGTACGCAACTGCTTATGCACCTTTGATAACTGGCACACAGGTTTGAACCTTACGTTTGCTTTCTTTCCTTTTGTTTCTTTCCT